AGGTAAAACTCACTGTAGAAACTTTGGCTTTGATTTCCCACTGCTTTACTTTGTATTTACCTCAGATGCACAAGTTGAAAGGTGTGAGGACGGAGAGAGGCAGTGATGAATCGGGGATTTCGTATAATGTGGAGCTGGTGGCTTCCAACCATGAACTAATAAGTGATTGGGGTTCATCTCGTAACTGAGAGCCTGCTATTGCTGTGCAGGCAACATAATGGATGGAAATAGACTGTGTGCCAATCCTGTAATAGAAAACATTGATTTCATCAGCCCCCAAATAGAGTATGATTTTTATTTAACACTATTACCTGTCAGAAGTAACTCCACAGCACTGGATGTGGGAAGGTAAGAGTGAAACTAATGCAGATTTGCTCAGAATCATTTTTAGGGTTGTTTTTAAAATGTTTGTCAAAAATGTCAGGGCAAACAAAAGCCCTCCAATGTCATCCCCTACTAGAAACCTGAGGGCTAGCTTGACTCTGGGCTTGATCATGAAGAAGGGCCTTGTGGCCACCCCTCAGAAGTTCCCTCATCCCTCAGCCACTTCCCAGCAGCAGTTCATGTCAGAAGATAGTGCTCCTGTGTCAGTCTTCATGTTTCTGCTCCATTTGAGGACAGTTCTTCTGACCATGTCTATATAACAGATCGCTTGTCTTGGGAAGCCCCAAAGCTTCTGAGATGTATTGATTCAAGGAAGGCGAAGAGTGGGGGTCCTTTCTGGGAAGCCCCAGTTGATGAGTGTAGCAAGAAGCTAAAGAGAGGAAATAATGATGCTGGGTTGAACGGTGGCCATGTGTTTTTTCTCTCAGGCAGGACATGGCTATTTTGGTGCCCATTTCTCATATAGCTCCCTGATGTATGATGAGGGAGATCAAGTAATCCTACTGCAGTGGAATGGATTTTACCATAATTTAGGAGATGTTAATTGCAGCCTGGAACAACTGGTTAAACTGGTGGGACAGTGTCAGGAGGGGATAACTTTTCTAGTGTGAATGACTATTTAGGTTACTGCTACCTTGATTTCTTTACATTCCAGGGAAAGAAGCGCATGTTATGTCATACAGAAACAACACAGGCATGATACTGTATGTTTTCTGTAGGATACTGAGAATATGCTCCTTTAGTGGAGTAGTGGAAAGTATTTTATAGATGGTCTATCATGTTCATGTTAAATTATTTCATCAGAGAAGCTGAGAGTTACATTAACTGTGTCTCAGTGTGACTGAAGCTTTTTCTGAACACATTTTCTTTATTTTATAAATAAAGATAAATAGAAAGTTTATCAGTCCTATCTAAAGCTCTTGGAACACAATTGTTCCCAATTAATAATAGTCTAAAATATGTGTGGTATAATGCTCCTGTAAAACATAAAAGGTAATATGAAAAAACAAATATGTTGATAAGCATTTCCAGTTCACCTAAAACTATTAGTGGTTTAAAATCCAGCCTCCCTCCCCTTAACAAACTGCTTTATAAGACATTTTGTACATTTTAGATATAGTTACCAAAGCTAGCAGCTTTCATGGTATCCATCCAACAGGATATTGTAATCAGAGTGCCAGTAATTCTGGGAAGCATCAAAAAAATGCTTCAGAGGATGTTTAGTCAGAAGAAAATCACAGCAGAGGCAAATCTGAACCATTTGTGCAAAAGGAAAATTTCCTGCAGAACTGTAGAACAAATTCTACCAATAATTGCACCTACTGGGCAAGTCAGATAAGGATGCAGTACACAGTTGAAAATAGCAATCTTGAAACTGCATATGTAGCTGTAGAGTGCATATGGGTGCATCCTGCTCTAAGTGGTATCTTTGTATTACATGTGAATTGCTCATTTTAAGTTTACCTTTAAAGATAATCTTTTTTTTCCTATTATTAGAGCAATTATTGGAATTACGAGAATATTAATATTTGGCAACAGTTACGTTATGAAAAATACCACTTTCTGTACCCAGGAGTGCAATTCTTTTAACAGTTGCAAATCCTGTGGGGACCCCAATATTCAGATTGGTCTGGACTGTATTGTGAGCTCCTAAATTGGGCTTCAAACCAGAGTATGTTCAAACACTTTAAATGTGAATAATTTGGCTTATTTGTGTGTATCAAGGTAAGCAAATGAGAATGGGAAGGGGTCCTAAATTTTTAGACTCTCTTCAAATTGAGTCATAGCTTTGTGCTTTATATAGCAACAAGGCCCTGATTAAGCACTTAAGCATGTGCTTAAGGTTAAGCATGTGATTAAGCGCTTTGCTGACCTAGGGCTTAAGTACCCTGTAAAGCATTGGAAAAATGAATAAATCAAATTTAGGTCAAATCCAGCCCTGTGCTCCATACCCAAGGTAACAGCAAAGCAGAAGGTAGGAAGCTTTGCTTTCAGAGGCTCGGAACAGCAGGGCAGGATTACAGCCTGACATCCAGGGGAGCACTGGGGAGGGGGGAGCAAGCGGCTGTGACAGCTTCTGCTTCACAAGGGCACGGGCTGCCAGCCGGAGGCCTCAGCCGGGTCCTCAGCTGGCTGTCACACACGCTTCAGTCTGCAGCAAACTGGAGCCTGTGGTGAGCGCTGCTGCTTTTTAAAGAGCAGAACGTACACGAGTGCCCTAATGGGATGGTCCTTGTCCTGCAAGGATGCACAATGAAGCTGCTTTTCCCTTCGATTTTCCTCCCCACCCTATACCCAGGGAGGAAAACGCTACAGGAGTTGGGCCTTTCCTTTTGGGTTAAGGACTGGGGGCATCTTGAGAGCCTCACATGGAATTTGGATGCTCAGTTTAGACGACTGTGTGCAAAGCTCCTCTGTGTGGATCCCTGTCCATGGGACAAGTCCCCCTGTTACATGGATGCACCAAACTGAGCAGCTTTCTTGTCTGCTCGAAGCAATTGTGCTTAGATAGTTAATGGTGAGAAATCGGAACATCAGTGGAACAAGAGCTGTACTGATGGACAGACAGGAAGGAGTATTCTGTGGATGAGTGTTCCCAGGAATACTGAATGTTGTTCTGATGCTGCCTGGACTTTGGTGACTTGGAAGCTGGCCCTGAAAACTTTAACAAAAGAAAGAATTTTTGTCTTATTTCCTTGGAAAAACCCAGTGCAAGGTGTGCTTAAAAAAATGTGTGAATTCCACAAATCCTGGTTTTGTAGGGATATCATTCAGTGCACTGGAGAGAAAGGTAAAGCAAAGAGTGAGCTCTAAAGGATAACAGAGATGGGGCTAGGGTGAAGTTTTAAGGGACATAGATGAAATATGCATCCTTGGGGGGGGGGAACCTCCATAAAATCTAAAGAAATACATAGTATTATTGTGCAACTTAAAGCATTTTCATTCTCTTTCCTTTCTTACCCCCCCAAAATCCTGTTTTCTCTGTGGAAGGGAAAAAAAACGTAGTCTTTCAAACTCATGAGCTTCCATGCACTGGCAAAGAGAAGCACATCATATGCTGCCACTGCAGACTTATCCTCTACAGTACCACCTACAGTGGAAGTCTAGCTGCAGGCTAGAGTTATACAATATCACAGAGAGAGATTAAGCATTACATTTATTGTGGTTGCTGGAAGGCGATATTATTGCTGTTTCAGTGGAGAGATTTATAGCAATACTTAATGAATGCTACTAGTTTTGTTATCAGTTGGTAACCATACACATGTTGTGCATGTGGAAATATTACAATAAGTCTTTATAAAAACCTTGGAAAAGTTGGATATTAGTGTTTGTGGCAAATTTGCCAGGATAAGGAAACCGTGTTAGTATAATGGCATGGTATTGTTAGGTTGGGCATATGTTGTTGGATATAAAGCAGGCAAAATTAGCCTTATCAGTATTAAGCATTTTCCAAATGAAGAAACTTTGTGATCTATCCTTAGGAATGTGCAGATTGTTTCAGTTATCAGTCTCAGCCTGGGAAAATATCATAGGTCAGAAACAGTTCAGAAACTAAATGCAAATTAAAAATACAAAGCTTTTAATGATATTTTCCATTTTAGCTCTATTTGAATCACAGCTCTAAGTGAGTCATCAGCAAAATGGGAACCATTAAGACAGGCCAGAAAGATGTGAAACTTACTTCCTGGGAAAAAAAAATATTCAAATCATTCTGGTCTACTGGTGTCTACTCCCAGTTTTGATGTAGTAGAGAGTCCTAAAGAGAAATTGAAATGTAGCACTCAGTGCAGAGAACTGGCATTTCCCTTCCCTAGAATCTTTACTTAGAAGCGCTAAAGACTGAGCATCCTTGAAAAACAGCAAGAAAAATCTTACTTGAATGCTTTTAGATAAAACATTCTGTGCTCTGAGTGAGTGCATTAATAGCACTGTATTATCATGCATAGATAGTTCTATGGTAAATACATATTTGTACATTGAGCTGGAGTGAAATTTTCATTAATGCTGATCACAGGCAAATTATTAGGCTTAGAAGCAGCTCTTTATGTTGCAATGCAACATACCTAAGTTCGTGACTGGTATCTAGAGTCATTCACTTGAATGCTTGTAGGTGCAGCTTCTTGTTTTTCCTTCAGGAAGGGAGATTTATTACAAGATCCTGCTATTGAAACTCAGTCAAGATTAGGTGTAAAGACAACAGAACACAGAATAGGTAAATGGTGTCTGTGGTATTCGCCATCAAAGGATGTGGTAGAATATTCTCAGATGGAACAGACAGGTCTGATATTGCATATTAGTGCAGTTAAAGCATATGAGGTATTGAAAAAATTCACGCCTCTGCAATGATGTAGGGAGAAAAGGCAAAAGCTTTTGGGTTTGGATGTTTTAGATAATTAGGAGCAACAAAAGCTTATGTTGGAAGCAGATTTACTGCAGATAGATAGTATATTCTTGCTAGAGAAATGGGATATCTAGTATAGTGGTCTGATGGCCCTTTTTCTTTCCTTTTGAAAAGGAAAGGCATTTCTATCTTCTAACCGCATTGTAGGATGCATAATCAGACTCATGGCTAGTAATGAAATGACTTTTCTTCCTCTAATAATATTCTGTTCCAGAATTGACCAGAATTCTGCTACAGCACTTTCAGTCTGAGATGATTACTACATAGATGTATTCTAAAATTTGGATAAAAGAAACCTGCCATATCATGGAATTATTAAAGAGAATCTGAGTATGTAAATTAATTTGACTAGTGTTGAATAAAAGCATCTCATTTTATTGAACTTGCATCACCTTTTTCTAAATGGTAGAGAAGTAGTAATTAAAAAGAGCTAATTATGTATTATTTTAGAGTGTACATTTGTTCTTAATTTTTGAATTAATTTTCTGATGTGAATGCTTTACTTTTTCTGCCTGCAGTTTCTTGCATAAACTCTCTGCTCTGACTGACCTTTTGGGGGGTAAAGCCTTGGGGCTTGATGGTGGAGGCATCTGAGAATGGGGATTATAAAAATGACTTCTATAAATTTTTGACCTCCCTCTTTCTCTGCATTTTATTACCTTTCTTGGCAACTGTTCATAGCTACATCCCAAAGCAATGCTTCCTAGCTGTGGTTTGTGAAGCTTTATTGGTCTGTAAGGCCGCGCTGTGCAGTTGTTGCACAAATTGTACTGGTCCCTAGGCATAATATGATCTCACTGGGTGAAAGCAGTAGTGCCTCTCTCCAGGTAGGTGACCCAAGGCACCAAAGGCAACCTGTAGAATAGGAAAAGCCTTTTGCCAAAACCTGCATGGAGGGCTTCAACAAATATCAAGGATTGGAAATTATCCACCAGGCAAAAAACATTGGAAAAACAGTGTAGACTCCAAACCAAGATGATCTTGTTTGCTTTAAAACTTCCCTGGGGTCTTCTGCATCTATAGCTAACTGCAAAGTCTCTATGGCTTCTATGCCATAAGAAGCACAGCAGACTGCTGAAGGAGTACTTTTAGTCTGCTCCATGCTCCATCTAGCATATGCTAAATGCTTCATTCAAGTCTGTATGCAGCCTGAGTGATGAAGACCATGATGTTATACACCTGTTGGTAACTGTCACCACACATAGCTACTCCACCTTGAACTATGTTGCAGACCTGCCCTTGTAGGTGTTCATGTGAATGGCCATTATTGATCTATTAATGAAGCATAGCCAAATGTTTTCGTGATATTAATCTCAGAAAACACCATCACTTCCTTCTGCCCATTTCAGGTCTAGGTTAGGGTAAGGATGCACCAAGTAGACAGGAAGAAAAGTTAGACATAGCTTTTCAGTTGCAGTTGATTTGTAGTCTAGCTCTTTACATGATTAGCTGTTTATGCACAGATAGAGAATGGTGATTGTATTTTATAAATAAATTGATAATGGACAATGTACTTTTGAACATTTTATGCCATGTATACATAGCAAATGCTATGTATAGCAAATGCAGAGACATCTTTTAATGTTTAATTACTGAAGATGCAAATTGTTTGTCTAAATAATAAAATATTTAAGGTTGGAATGCATCTTTTTAATTAAAAACTTCCCAAGGCAAGTAAGATTACTGCAGCACAGAGATTTGCTGATAGTGTAATGTGTTTTTTATATTGCTGATGGTGACTGACAGAGTCAGTTATATGCCAGTCCTGGGTTGTTGTCTGTTATTAATATTTTTGTATCAGTGATGAGAAAAGCAGCAGTCTATGAGCCACGGTAACTATTGCAGTTGATGAGCCACGATAAATAGCAGCAAATGCATTCTAACCTCTGACTCTGTGACAAACAGCATGGGTACTATCTGCAGCTCTGGTTTTAATTTCAATGGCATCAAAGGGAAACTCAAGAGATTCGGAAAATAACTCTGGCACCATGGCTCAGATAAAATAAAATGCTTACCCACAGACATAAATTACCATGGGAATAAAAAGACTACACCAAATTACATAGTTTCATAATGCTCTTAAATCAAAAAGTAGAGGACAGTGAGTACAGCTCACAAATTGCAGCAGTCACACTACTTGATGAGTGGCTTTTTTGGTACTAACTAACCTAACAGGTTTCTCCAAGTGGTGCTTGATGGCTTACACTCAGATGATGCTGGGAAATTCAGCAGGAATATGCTCCCATTTCATGAAAATTAATTCCCAGCACACATTAGAAAATGTATTTTCACAGCTCTGACTGCAGCATTGCACTGCATGAACACGTGTTCCTGTAAGCGTGGTACTTTGTTGGACTTTCCTTGCCACTGAACTCATTGAATTTGAAGCTGCATGTAATTATTTTAAGGCATAGTAAATCCTACTCACCTTACTAATGACGGCACTCCAAGAGCTACTGTATTTGCAATTGAAGCCAAGAGAACATTGCAACAAGCTGCAAAGTCCTGGGCAAAGCATTCTGCTGGAGGGAGGCACTGTTCTAGACCAGTTCTAGTTTGTTTGCTAGATAGTGTAGACTAGATGACTACATAAATCCTCCTGAACTCACCTATGGAAACTGCGTTTTAATTCTTCCCTAATCTCCACCTAAGTATTCTTGCTGCAGCAGCACATGCAGTCCGCTTCGAAAGAGTTACTAATACACTTATTTGTAAGTTCCCCATCTCTAATTCTCACCTCCATACATAGGATTTCTTTTGTTTAGTCTTGAGGGCTTGACAAGCTGAACTGGCGTTTAATAAGAAATCCAGTCCTGCGTCTCTGAGTGGTGGAGAAACAGGTCACATCACTGGAATTTTGAGTAGTCTTCCATTACCTTCCCATGATTCTCCCTGGGCCTACAAAGGCAGAGTTCTTCTGCAGGTATCTGGAGGAAACTATGCTAGAGACTTCCTATACTTCTAAAAAGAAGTAGATGTGCCCCCCAGAAGAGAAGCATGAGAAGTCGATGCAAGAATAGAAGCAGTAATTTGGATATTCCCATAGTGTTTTCACTCTGGGATTGACTATGTATTGACATTCAGACCAAGAACTCATCACCAAGATGATTGCCACAGTTCAGACCATACTTTTCCATGCATTGAAAAAGAGGTAAATACCCCACCTTTTGGCTATATTATCCTGTGTAAATACATAATGGTGGATGTTAATGAACCATGTTGATCCCCAATGAAATCACTTCTTCATGCTTGAGCTCATTGGTGCTGCAGTCTCAAGTTGAGCTACTCAAGGTTCTAAGATTCCCATGGCTCAAACAGATTTTTCATTACTGCAGTCAGAAGCAAGTCTGTATCTCATAGCAGTCAGTCTCATGCTAGGGGATTTTAAATGCCTAATAGCTACGGACTACATAGAAATCAGTTTTCTGACGGAGTCATAAAAATAGTACTGGTTGGCAGATATACTTAAAAGGAATTGATCGATGAACCTGATTTTTCAGCCTTGGAAGTTTTTTTTGGTTGGTTTCCAGTGCAACTTCCACAGACTAAGTTTTTGCACAGAGGAACAAAAACCTTACGTATTTAAGTTCATCTTGCAGACTTCTTTTAAGAAGTAAGGAGTTCTGGTATTTTTTTTTTTTTTATCTCAGGGGAAAAAGTCTCCTTTTTTGATCTTTTCTCCTTCAAAAAATGTGTTCAAAAGAAGAATAGGGAAGGACAAAAGAGAGAAAAAAATAAACTTGGCATTCTTCAGTGATAGAAGAGAATCCTGTTTTGACCATTGTACCTGATACAAAGTTCCTGCTCAAAACACTGGGAAAGATGGGCATTTACTTTTATTTTGAACTATAGAAAAACTGTTTTTTGCTGGAAATGAAATGCATTTACCTTTGGAAAAATACTTGTCAGACAAGTCTGGGGGGGTTAAAAAAAAGAAGGCAACAGCCCATACCACTTCACTTCAGATTTTTGGCTAGACATACAGGTGGTTTTTAGAAAGCACAGGTCAAGAGTGTGAGTATATGAAAGCTCACCTTTGCATTCCTTTGTAATCTTAAAGTCTCTTCTGCTGAGCTGGAAGATGGCTTTAACTTCTACCAACATCACATAACACCTGGACCATTCTGTCTATGCCTGCTGCTCCCCACAGGCCATATGTGGTCTGCATAGCACCCTTCACAATTATTGATACAGTGAGTAATTACTTCTGATGTTAGATGTAGTTCCACCTTTCCATTGAGAAGAAATGACACAGATGATGTATCCCCTCTGGAATTCTTAGTGCCAGAAGTAGAAATAACCTGATGGGTCAGAGGGCGTCCAGGTTGACACGGTGTATTCAGTCAAGGGACTTTACTTGTCCACTTCAGGCTCAGGACACCTTTTGTTAGAGTGCCTTTGATCTAAAAGGCTGATGAAATGAACCTGTGTGTTAAACATCTTCTGGTGTTTGTAGCTTTGGTTTGTGTTAGAGTGCACCCTTCCAACAAACAGGGAAAAATCATATCTTTTGTAAGTGGGAATTGCTGATTTCTTATGAACTTTCTTTCATAAACAAGATGTTTGTGTGGAAATATTTTATGTAAATACACATTATTGTACCTTGCCTGTTTTCCCTTGACTACATACAATGCTGATGGTGCCTCTTGCTGTACACTGGAGTAGGTCTTTAAGCCAGTGTTGAGCTCTTGTTTTACTGCGTGAGACACTACAGAAGACTCCAGGCATTTATCCATCAAAAGTATGTGACCCATTGCTGTCCAGAGATTTCAGACTTTACAATCAATCTGTTTTCACAGCAAGTCAATGCCACATGGGAGAACTGTTGCTCCCAGTTCACATTTTGGAAGGTGAAGACCTGAGGCTGTATTTACAGCACTGTGCAGCAGCAACCTGTAGATAAGAGGAAGAAAACGCTGTCCATAATGGTTAAGTTTTCAGAGTTTCCTCAGAGCTGTCTCTGGGACAGTTTATGGCTCTTTGTGGCTGCACCAGTGGTTTCCCTCTAGTATGCCTGCCCTGCTGTGATATTATGGTCAATAAAACCCCCCAAACTGCTATAGTGAACTTCCCTGACATTCTACGACAAAGATATATGGGATTATAGATACTGTGAAACCCAGCTGATATGCCAGAGAAGAAAAAATCTTGCTTGAAAAAGAAAGCAAGCATGAGGTGGTAGAGTTCATGTCCACCTTCGCTCTTGAGGCCCACCAGGGCGGGTTATGAAAGGTCTTGACAAAGAGGCCAAGTGATTCACAGGTCATACAGAACTGGAGTCTGGCAGAGAAAAGTATTCGAACCTGTCTCCCAAGCTTCAGACTAGCACA